TTAGAGGGACTGAGTCCTAATCAAGGTAAGTACTAAGTCAAAGTTACTTCCGCTGGAGCAGAGCTCAGCAAACTTTTTCTGTATAGGGCCAGAGAGCATATACTTAGGGATTACAGGCCTTTTGGTCTCTGTCACAACTACTCAACTCTGCTGCTGTCATATGAAAGCAGCTATAGGCAGTAAGTAATGAATGAGCAAGACTGTGTTCCCATTTTATTTATATAAAAGAGGTGGTGGGCTTCATCTGACCCACAGGACAGGACATAGTCTGCCAACCCCCCTGCCCTAGAACATCAGAGGATCCTTGGGTGGCCCAGTTAGACAATGCTCTAAGTACAACTTTGAAGAGACCTGCAATAATCTTTTTGCTTTATCCCCAAGTTTTACATAATTTTTAAAACAGTACCCAGGTCTTCAAACAATAAATCCCATGCTTTTCCCCCACTACATAAGAGAGCTTACTTTGCTGTCTCTCTGAGGCTCACTCAGTCTTTGGACTTCAGGTAAGAAACAAAATAAGACTCTATTAAAGAAAGAATATTAAAACTACTAAGACGAGCATTTCTCAATATTTCTCTGTCTTTGGCTTGCTTAGTTTGGGAAAATATTCTGTGAACTACTTATCCCTTTGCCTTGTGGAATCCTCATCAGGACCAATGGGAAGCCTAATGCTGATGAGAAATTGCTGAGGGCCAACAGAGGATCGTGACGCCAGACACTTCCAAGATGGAGGAGCACCCATTTGGAGGCATGGTCATGACGATGTCACGTGATTCAAGGAGATGGAGTCCATGTACCACCTACAGGACCTCAACACTCATATTTCAAGAACCAATGACCTAAAAGATCTAAAACCAGCAGAGTAACCTGCATTCAGCTCACGCAAAAGCTGTTTCATCCAAGATATGTTAAAAAAAAGATGACTAGTTGAACACTATCCTTTTTAAAGAGTGGAAAGTACTTGATCTCTCTCAAAAAAAAAAATTCCTATGTATCCTGACTCCTGTTAAGTTGGAGTTAAAATGCAGACTCTGTATACAAGCTAGACTGAGCTCATATAGTCTCATCCGTAACAGGTGATTGCCACAGAGCAAAATGCTAGAAACACATTCCTTACAAGCCCAGGTTTTAATACAAGTATTTACTGTATACTTACTGTGGGCTAAATGTTAGACACATGTTAGACACTACAGTTACAAAGTTAAACACAACCCACTCCTTATTCTTAAAAAGCTCAGTCTATCAGGGAAAATATGTGGTTAAGTGCTAACTGTACTATACATGTAATCAGTGCCATATAATGCCATTCGGAGTAAATGCTATAAAGGGCAGTCTGAGGCAGCGTACTGAGACAGATGAGGGAGTGACAGACTACTAGGGTAAATCAAGCTAAGGGTTGATGGTTTCAGAAATGGCTAGTAGACAAGGGGAGCCAGAAAGGCACAATGGCTCTGCTTAATTTTATAATATTACCACCAAATCAAGTCTAAAAATTAAATGACAAATAATACATCCTGATAATAAGATAAGCAAATGGGAGTCAAAAGGAAAGAGGAATAAGACACTGATTAGATGATTTATTGCTAACAGTCATTGCAGAAGTGATGCCTCTCACTGTAAAGATCTTTCCCGTCAACTTCTCTCCTAAGTTGCTTCTGGTAGATCTGAATTATCTTTTAACTCTCCATTTTTGTTCTGTTATAGCTGCATTTATTTGCAACTGCAAGTGATCCTGCCTTCCTCCTGCCAGCTGGTTTTCTAATTTCTCAGTTTCTAGAAACTTATAAACAGAAGAAAATCTGATAAAAACAACTTGATATCATGTGATGTGTTAACACATTAAAGGAATCCTGTTGTTGCTTAACCAAGATCATATTTCTATTCTTAACTATGTCTGTAATAGAAAACAAAGCTTATATGTAATGTTTGAATGTCTTTGAACAGTTTACACTTAAAGTTTCATATACTATTTTTAGAAATGTCCATACAACACATTATTTCTATTTTTTTATTGATAGACTGATAAGTTATCCTAGAAATATGAAAGCCATCTAACAAATTCTGATCCAAAATGTGATTTACCACAAAATTTCAGGTAGTTTAAGGGAAGGAAAAGCAATTAAAAGAGTTATAAAAAGGAAAAAAAGAAAAGACGGGAAAACATATAATGAATCTAAGTTTCCCTTAGAAAATAATTTTCAAGTGAAATGTAATTGTTCTAATAAACGCTGAATTACCATTATAGAAACCACATAGAGCACCATATGATACTTAGTTATAAAGAAAACAGGATAAGTATCCTTTAAAACAAAAATTAGACAGTATTTTCACAGTGAAAGTTAAGCAAAAGGTTTTGGAAATGCTTGAATTGTTCACTTAAAAAACTAACTCAGTAGTTCTGAATTACTTATGTAATTATAGGTTGATTTTATCTGTGAAAACCAAATACAATATTAAGTATTACCACGCAACCAACAATTATATAGAGTACTATACCAAAGGAAGATGCCTTTCTTGATGACAAAATGACAGAGAAATATAAACTAAAATTACACAGCACTGAAAGGGAACCCACCATTACTCCCTTTGATTTAAATCAACTGTCAGAAAAGTGTTGGGAGTTATAGAATAAAACAAACGAATCTTTAGAATAATAAAGACACAAGAATCTTTCAAAATTCAATACAAGAGTAAAATCTAGCCCCTCTTAAAAAGTTTAGAACACTGTTAGTTAAAAGGCCAATTTTCACAGGTTGGGGCCCGCCCTGCGGCCTACTGGTTAAGTTCGGCGTGCTCTGCTTCAGCAGCCTGGGTTCAGTTCCCAGGGGGCGGACCTACACCACTCGTTGACAGCCATGTCGCAGTGGTGACCCACATGAAAAATAGAGGAAGACTGGCACAGATGTCAGCTCAGGGCCAATCTCCCTGAACAAAGGAGAAAAAAAAAAAAAAAGCCAATTTTCACAGGCAATAAAGGGCCAGTAAATTAACCTGAAAATAACTGTTACTGTGGTGGCTTTATAAAACTTGTCTGCAAATTCTTTGACACTTCTTCCTTCAAATGATGGGCCAGACTCAGTGCATCACTTCTAATGAAAAGAACAGGCAGAAGTGATACTGTGTGATTTCCACGATTAGGTCATAAAAAGGGTCCAGCTTCTGCCTGGTATGCAAGCTCTCTCAGAGCGCTGGCTCTTAGAACCCAGCCGCCATATTGTGATGAAGCCCAGGCTATGTGGAGAGGCCACATGTGGGTGTTCCAGTCAATAGCCTCTAACAGACCCCCAGCTGACACCAGCATCAACTGGCCAGTCACCTGAGAGAATTATCAGCCTTCAGATGATTCCAGCACCTGGCCTTTAAGTCTTCTAGTTTAGCCGCCAGGCACTGTGGAGCAGGGATGAGCCATCTCTGCTCTGCACTCTCTGAATTCCTGACCCTTAGAAACTGTCTGAGATAATGAAAGATGACTGTGTTTCAAGCCGCTAAGCTTTGGTGTAATCTGTCCTGCAGCAATAGATAATTAACGCAGTTACCTAGAATGCACACCCATCAAACACGGAAGGATTTTTTTTCAAACTGAAAAAATAACCTTTATACAAACCAATTATAGAATATAGCCTCCATTTTATATGTTAGTAGGTTTTATTTAAGTAATAAAACTTTATTAACCTGAACTTGTCTCATTTGAAATCTGAGACAATTCGACTCTAAATTTTAGAGTGTTTAGAGGCTGAGCATTGTCACTGAAGTGGCTCTGGAAAGGAGAGTTTAGGGAATCCACGCAAGAACACAGAGAATGTTGAAGCTGGTTAAGAGAACAAACTGTTTTGAAGTACTTTAAAAGTACAGCACTCTCAACACAGCAGGCACTTGATAGTTATTAAATGTCAAATGAACATTAGGAGCCTCAAGTTCTTCCTAATCACTTCTTACATATTAATTAGCTTTAAAGTATTCTATTCGGCAAATGGGTCAGTTCAGTTCAAGTAAATTATTTGTGCATACATATATTTTGTCTTTTCCTAATAAAAGCTGAGGTCCCTGGGGGCGTTCCTTCTCTTGTGCATCTCTGAATTTCTCAAAGGACATAAAACAATGCTGTAGGTCAAATACTGTACTTGACAAATATTTGTACAAATGATCCAACTGCACAGATGTACCTGAAGCTAACTCAAGTGTATTATAATTCACTTTTTTCCTTCTACTAATTCGTTCTGCTGTTCCCCATCATTAGTTCAAGTTAGTGGATGTTTTATCGTATTTCCAAGAGCATACCACATACCCCTTTATTATCTCTTACCAGTTTATTCATAGTAGATACAGATACAAATATTTGCCATGCGTAACTGGTAATCTGTGTTCCCCAGCCAGAAACATGTCCAAGCAGCCAGGTGACCATACACATAAGCAGGCTCCCCCTCCTCTCTCACCATACCCCCACAGCCATCGTCTGGGCTGGCAGCATTTTCACCCCATCCAGGTCAAGGGCCCTTCCTCTTACTGTGGCAGGGGTTGGTGGCAAAGAGTAAGGGCTTTCTTTTGTTTTTTAAGATAAACTACATGTACCTAGAAGAGTTTGATTACCATTAGACTTGTATATAGAACTTTTTTTTAAAAAAGGCCTTAATAAAATTAGAAGCAACCAAAATAAAAGCCATTCCCTCATCTCAGGGACCATGCACACTGCTGTGCACACTGCACACCGTGCAGCTCCATCCTTGTCAAAGGGGACGGCGCCCCCCACCCAAGCCGAGCAGTGCGGCATCTGTGGCTCAGGACAGAGAAAACCTAATCCGTAAGATTTCCATTCTGTTACAGGCAGAGATTCATAAATCAGCATTATTTTTAAAAGATCACAAAGACAGACTATTCTGCTTGGGAAAGAAAAAAATAAAGACATCTAATTATTAGTTTATTCCTGTAGTTTAGTCAGAACTGAGACAAATTTCTTTGACAGTGTTATATTGCCCGTGCTCAGGCTTATATTTTTCACTGAATCACAATTGTGAAATATTTATTTATAAGGCGATAATTGCAATTAAGCAGTTTACTGAGTAGTTTTGTACGTACACATTATTTAATTCTTGCTATAAATAAGATATTCATAATTTCTCCAGTTTCAATTTGAACATATAATTTGTAGTAACAAGATGCGGTTCTAGGACAGATCCTCTAACTCGTTGTAAGGCCCGAGACAAGCCATTGGAGATCTCTGCCTTCACCCACATCTAATAGGGATAATAATATCTTTTTTTAACCTACCTTATGGGTAAGTAAGCCTAACATTTATGTGAAAAAAGTTTTGCTAAAGTCGCTAAACAAATATAAGGTAAAATATATGAGGTTTTATCATATTAACTATTTTCTAACATTTGATTTGATTTTTGTAATTTAACTAAATTAAGACTGCATACTTTCAGAACTATAAAATTCCAGTTATACAAGGTAAACTGAAGTAGTAAAGCTAGTCATAATAATAAATCCATTCATCCACGTTCTCATTCAATTACATTAAAAAATAATAATTATAAAAATAGGTAAAATTTCATGAAAATATTCCTATTTATTCTAGCTTAGGAGTTCTTGCCCAGATCAAGGGATTGTCTGGCATCTGCCACGGCCTCAGGTACTCGAACAGTCATATTGTCCATAGCCTTTGTCAAACAGATTTGGCAGCCCAACCGAGATCTGCATAAAAAAGGGGGAGGTATGGTTTAGTATTAAGTATGTATCATTCACAAGGCAATGCAGTTGTTTAGGACAGTTTCTTACCCAAAGCAGTTAGGGATTTACTTACCTTTTAAATTTCCATTAAGCAGAACAAGATATATCCACCTCTCAACTAGAGGGAACAGAATGTAAATATGAAAAACAAGAAGCCTAGGGTGCCACAGCTTCATTTTAGTCTTTAGTTTCTATTGTCTACTAATTGTTTCACCAGAAAACACTGCTCTTTGGTAAAAGGGATGAGAAGCAACGAGCTCCTCAGAAGGCACAGAGTGGAGAAGAGGAACTAAGGTTTTTAGCAACACCAAGAGAATGATCAATCAATTCCCAGATCATTAAAACCATACAGACTATAAAAGAAAGCTACACTTTTTAAAGCCTCTAAAATAAGAAATTTGGAATGAACAAACAGACTTAAGTCAGCAATTATCAGATGAATATTTTTCCCATATTTTTCACATCTCTGAAATCAAGATGCGTCTGAAAATCAACTGCATCTTATAATCACTGCTACACTGTGAGGTGTCAGTCACGTCAGAGCTGCGAACTTGGTGACAAAATTCACGTATGTGTGTCTTCAACTGAGTCAAGGAAAGTATGTTAATACTACATGAGTTGAATTTAATTTTCATTCAAAATATGTCCAAAAAGATTACAAAACAAAAATTATTCGAATACAGAATCACAGCAGGGTGTAAATTTGATATTTGTACAGCAAATATTTGTCATTGGAATTATGAATAACTCTAATTCCATTTTCTTTTTAAGAACTACTACCAATTTTCTTTTATTTATATTTTCATTTTTTAACAGTGATGTACAAATCTATGCCTAGATTAGTCTAAATAGCTCTTTTAATATGAACAAAATATGTTAAGATAAGACAACTTTGTGCCATATTTTAATCAGCAGTGCTTTTTACTTTCTTAATGGCATGTAAAAATAAATGTTAGTCTTACAATCAAATTATCTTTGATTTGATGGAACGCAATATGCAGGTCTTGGTTTTATTAACATATTCATCAAGCATTTACCGAGCATCTTGAGGCACACTACTAAATGTCAGCAGGTGTAGAGAGAGCAACTCACTTCAATCCTTACTGAACACCGCTTATGTGCTGGGCGCCTGGGGTGCAATGAGGAGGCAGCAGGGGGTTAGAGCCAAACAGACCAGTGGTCCAGACCCCAGCATAAACATGGCATGTTCACAGGCAACTGAACCCCACCAAACAACAGTCGCCTAACCTCATCCTAAAGGTGGATAATAAGCAGGTTTCTCAAAGGACTGCTGCGAGGATTAGTTGCTAATATCAGTATTAAGGAGTGAACTTTCAACCAATTAGAAGAGATGAGACATATTCGCAGATAATTAACATGTGAGACTGTGACAAAGGCCACAGAGCGAGAAAGCCAAAGGTCTGAGGAGAAAGCACTTATTCTAACCAGGGGAGATGGTGTTTACAACAGGCTTTGAAGGATGGGTAGGATTTAATACATAATAAATGATAAAGGCACAGGTAACAGGGACTCAAGGCACGCTGGTGGCAATACTGGTTTTTAGCTTGGCCGCTGCACAGGGCAGACAAGGACAGAACAGTGATGGGCTAGAAAGATGGCCAGGCCACGAACAGCTCTGAACGCCAATCAAGGAGTTTAGGCTTTAACTGGTAAGCAATGAGAGACTGCTGGGAAGTTTCTGAGTAACAGAGTAAGTACAACCATAGGAAACAGTGATTGCTGATAGAAAAAAGTCCCCTTCTACATAATTCCCATTTGTTGAATTAGAAACAGCCATAATACTCAATTTGCGTTAAGCTCTGTCTCCAAGAGAGAAAATGCGGCAAGCCAATTTGACAAATTCATTAGGACTATGGTGAGCCTAGAGGTCCTGTTGGTTACTCTTGGTGTTCAGACAAAGATAAGTAAGATAATGCCAGTCTTCAAGGAACTTTTAATTTAGTAAGAGAAACAGAGATGGAAAAAGCTACCAGTGAAACAGGGCAGAATACAGTAAATATAGTAACAGAACAAGAAGCATGTTATGGGAACAAGGGCACGGAGAGCCCTTGCTGGCTCCATGACCCCAGAAGGTAAGGCAGTGGTGCTCTGTGGCTATGTTCTCATTCTACTTTCTCTACCTCCTTCAAGGGCTCTGGCTCTAAGGTTTACTCAGTGTAGAAAGTGTCCTAAACTCTAGAGAAGGAGACAGACAGCAAGTCTTCCTTGATTTCACTATTAGTCCCACAAAATTCTGACACTGAAACAAACCTTGAAGCTATTCTTTCCTATCACCCATGACATATACACCAGAAATATACTGGGTGTTGTGTTTACTTCTAAGGTTTGGTTTTCAATTCAAAGAGGCAGCTTGAAATAGTAAAAAAAAAATCAAGGGCATTGGCTCAACAGAACTGATTCAAATCAGGGCTCTGTCATTCTCCAGCTGTGCAGCCTTCAGTAAATCTCTAGTAAGTGAACCTTGTTTTCCCACTTACAAAATGGTGATAATACTGCCTAACTCTGAAGGTTAGAAATAACTTCTGTTAAGTGCCTGGGCATTATAGTAAGTATCCAGCATACAAACTGATATTATTACAGTTATAATGTTAACAACATCATTTAACGAATGCTTTCTCCACCACACACTGTTCTAAGACCTTCATATATACTATTCAGTGACTCCACACAACCCTACGGTGTAGGTACTATTATTATCCTCATCTTACAAATAGAGAAACTGAGGCTTCTGTGTAGATTATCCATGGGAACTGGGGGCAGGGAGCAATAACAACATCAAAAATAGATTCACAGATAATTCCTGAATCTCTCTATCAACCATCAACTCCAAAAACAGCTGATGATGCCCTATTGTGAATCAGACACTGGAGAGACAATGATGAAATAAGACATGGCTCTGCTCCAAAGGGGAAAAAGGAAATAAGTAACCACTACAAGTGCCATAGGAGCCTGGGTATCATCGGTCCATCATAATCAAGGTTAAGTATCCCTTATAATACACATTAAAATGATGGTGTTTTATCCTAAAAATTAAAGATATTTACATAGCATTTAACTTTAAAATAAATGTAGGAACCAGCAGACTGAATTTCCTTGCTTCTTTGTTTTGGAACTGCATGGTACCCTAGAAACAGGAGTTTATATGCAGTTATTGGCTTTAAATAAAATTATTTTCATTCCAAATATGTCAAAGTGTTTTATAAATGCCACCTGTGAACAGCAATCTACTTTTTCCTCACAAAGCATTTCTACTAAAATTCTGTGTACTTAAGAATATGAGCTATAAAATGCTAGAGGAGCTTTTCTTTGCTCTCCATTATCCAGTTCTAAAACTTCTGAATTTTATTATCAAAGTTCTTGGCTCGTTCACACTTACAATAGGTCTTTTGGACCTTTTTACATTTGTGTATCTCCTCTATCTGTAGCTTTCTCTTTCCTCTTACTTTCTGTCTCTTTTCACTTAGAATATTATCTGTTACACGCACCTACAAATTTTATCTGCATAAAAGGGCAAGGACTTAGCCCTGATTTACCCCTTCCATTAAGAGAGAAACAATTCTCAGAACCAAATTAATACAATCACTGAGTGTATTCTTTGTGTTATCCTTTAGAAAAAAAGGAGATGTTGATAGAGAATGTGGCACCCGAAGATGTGAGGAGGGACAGGCAGATGGCAGCCATAATCTGCTTTACTTGGGAGTTTAAAGAGAGACTACTTTCCCAATTTCCCTTCCCAGGATATCAGCCTCACCTCCACCAAGGAGGAAATGAACTAAAAAAGGAACAAAATGATTGTTTACCTCTAAATAAATACAATGACCTAAAAATTCTTGTGAGGATTAGATGAGATAGTTTATGTTAAGGGTCTAATAAAATCGTGGTTACATAATACACATGAAATAAAGCTATAATTATTACTATTATCTTTAGCTTTTTAAAAATTATTTTTCATTAGGGTCACCAAATTACAGCTACACACCAAAGCCAACCTTAATCACATAAGCTCTCATTACCTTGCTCCTTGAAACAGTAAATCAACTAGGTACCTTCCCTAACTCCAACCAAAAGACTAAACAATTTAAAAAAATAAGGTATCACTTGACATCAATTGCTACTATAAATCACACCACTTTTAAGAGTAATTCTATCAATTAATTATAAGAATAAGCTCTGATTAATTTACTTTAATGTACACTAAGAAACAAAACTATTCATTTTAACATAATTACTATTAAATATTAAGTTTCTTTAAAAATTCTGTTCTCTCAAGTAGGTGAAATTTTCCATTATAATTTTGTTCAATTATCAAATCTGTCCTTAAAGAATACCATAAAAACCATTAAATTTAATCCCAACTCATTAAAGTGTGATAAATATTAATTCCTGAGATAAAAAATAAACGAAAGAAAATTTACTAGGATCTAGAACTTATACTTCCAATACCTCCAATTAATTTTCTTTTTCTACTTTTGTAAAACGGCAAGTTTCATAAGACCTAAACCATAGAAGACTGGAAACAAAGAGAACTGTCACATATTTGATATTCAAAGTTTGTGACTGTTACTATTTACACTGGGAGAATACTATTACATGCATGGGTCTGGTCTTAGGTAGACACAAACTAACAAAACCTTTATCTTCTCAGACTATTAGCACAACTGAAGTGGTACTAAAATCTTACCTGTCTGTTAGTCCGAACGCCAGATCAAGCATGTCATTCTCCTCATCAGTGATTGCTTCTAACTTCTCAAATATGTGGTCTTCAAAGATGAGGTGACAGGTAGAGCAAGCCAAGGTTCCCTCACACGCACCTACAAGAGCAGCAAACACTGAACACTCCCCTCTGCACTAAACACAATTCAAACCTGGTGTGAATAACAGTTAATTATTTCTAAATTTTAGTATCAGCATTAGCACACATAAATGACAGCACTTTATTTCTGAACAAAAATGAGAATTAGGAACAACACTCCCCTCTGACACACACAATTTGAAATCACTTTCACATATTATTTCAAAAAGGTTCTGGGCTAGGTGTTATAAAGGGAAACCCAAAAATACACACTCCTAATATCAAAGAGCTTACAAGTTAATAAACTGGGACACACACACATATAAAAATGTATGCATTTTTAGACATATATAAAATAATTTATGTAATAGCTATGCAAGTTATTTACCTTTTCCTGGAGAGCTAAACACAATTTATGAAGACTTGTGGTAGACAGGAGGCATCAGAGAGCAAACAAACTGATGTCTAAATTAAGCTAAATATTCTTCCCTTTCAATCTCTCTTTGTAATCAGAACAGAATCAAATAAGGCACTTTAACAGTCACACAGGTTTTAAACAATAAGATAAGAATACTTCTCTTATCCCATTTTTCTTGAAGCCACTAATTTAACAGTTATTTACTGAATGCCTATTATATGCCAGACACTGTGACAGGGGAACTGAGAAGTCATCTAGTCCAACCAAACTATGAGTGAATCTGCTCTGTAAACATCCTTTTCCCAGGGGTTACCCAGTCTTTGCTTAAAAAACTCCTGAGAAATCCATACCACATAAGCCAGCCAATCTCGCATTTGGCTTCTGTTGAGCTAAATAAAGTCTGTCATTCTGTAACTTCTAGCTACTGGTCCAATTCTATCACATGGAGCTAAATCCTCCTTCTTTTTCTCCCCAGCTTTATTAAGCATAATTGCCAAATAAAATTGTAAAATATTTAAAGTGCACATCGTGACGATGTGATATACATATACATTGTAAAAGAGTTCCTTTCATCTAGTTAATTAACACATCCATATCCATCACCTCACATATTTATCTTTTTTTCTTTGTTTGGTGAGAACATTTAAGTTCTAGTCTCTTAGCAAATATCAATTATACAACACAGTATTATCAATTACAGTCACCATGTTAACACATTAGATCCTCAGATCTTATTCATCTCATAGCTGAAAGTTTGTATTCTTTTACCAATCTCTATTTCCCTCACTCCTCAGCCCCTGTCAACCACTTTTCTATTCTCTGTTTCTATGAGTTTGACTGTTTATTTAGCAAATCCTTCTGAACAATAAGTTTTCATATGTCTGAGATTGTTCTTCCTTCTCCACGCTGAGTATACCCAGGTTCTTCAAATTTTTCTTACTCAATAACACAGTTCTAAATCCCTTCTCTCAGTCCAGTTGGGCTTTTCTTAAAATATGGCATCTAGAGGAGGATCTGACAAATCCAAATCGTGCAGAATTGGGTTCTGGTTAAATTCTACCTTAAAAAGTTATTCTGGGGCCGGTCCCGTAGCTTAGCCGTTAAGCGCGCGCGCTCCGCTGCTGGCAGCCCGGGGTTCGGATCCCGCGCGCACACCGACGCACCGCTTCTCTGCCCATGCTGAGGTCGCGTCCCACACACAGCAACTAGAAGGCTGTGCAGCTACGACCTACAACTATCTACTGGGGCTTTGGGGGAAAAATAAATAAATAAAATTATTTAAAAAAAAAAAAGTTATTCTGGTTTGTTTCTGTTGTTGCTGTTTTCGTGTTTGTGAGGAAGATTAGCCCTGAGCTAACATCCATTGCCAATCCTCCTCTTTTTGCTGAGGAAGACTGGCACTGAGCTAACATCTGTGCCCATCTTCCTCTACACTTTATATGGAACATCGTCACAGCATGGCTTGACAAGCAGTGCGTCGGTGGGCGCCCGGGATCTGAACCTGCGAACTCCGGGCCACCAAAGCTGAGTGCGCAAACTTAACCGCTACACCACCAGGCCGGCCCCTTTGGTTTGTTTTTTAATAGTGGTTTTTAAAGCCATTAAACAAGTTTAAAGATTACACAGTCCTAGGAATAACTTCAGTTTGATTTAGATTCTCTTTTGGCCAACAAACACTACATAAAATATGTAACAGAACTACTATCAATAACGAGTAACAGTCTTAATTTTCCTCTGAATACATGGATCATTTTAACAAAAGTTGTTCCCTCATAATTTAAACATTTGTTATTCATATTTTATTATCTAAAAAAATCAAAAGAGAGGCTTCCTTAAATGTTCATTTTTATTACATCCAATTCAAAGCAGTCACGGGATTAAGTAGAGAGAGATCATACAGTGAAATGTAGGAGTTACAAGCATGGGCTGTGGAGCCAGACTCCCTGGCTTCAATCCCAGCTCCCCTTTTACTAACAGCATCACCTTGGGCTACTTTACCCTCCCCTCCACACGTCAGTTTCCTCGATACTAACTGCACCAACCTCACCTGGCAGTGGTAAGAATTACATACAAGTGTGTACAACATATGTACTTGCAACCACGACTGGTAGATAGTAAGCACCATACAATTGTCGGTAATTATTATTATTATTTGGAAGTTATAAGAAATCTTAGAGTAATTCAATTTTATTTTTTATAAACATAAGAAGAACTAAACCCAAGAAGTTAAATGAATAGACTAAGGTCATTTACTAGTTAGAGAAAAGTTATCACTTCAGCTAAGTTTCTCAATGTTGAAGATTAGCTTCTGCCACTTAATAATACAAGTCACTTTACTTAAATATATATAAACACACATATATACACATATATAATATACAAATATATATACACATCAATTGGTTAGTTGTATTTTTGTGTAAATTTGAAACATCTCACACAAAAAGGTAAATGGATATATTTTAAAAAGAGGAAGATCCTCTGGTTAAAAAATATATATACCAAGTTCAAAAACTCCTGCAGTGTGACCTTGAGGTCAGGAGTCCAGGCTCTAGATGGACCTACCACACCGTATGCTGTGTCCTGGGCAAAGCCCTCAAGGGCCTCAGTTTTCTTCTCATCTGTATAATGAGAGACTGAGGTAGATGATCTCTAAGGGCCTGTTGGCTCTGATGACTCCACAAAGAAGAATTACTGCTCTTAATGGATTTGTTCACTAATATTCAATAAATTAAATTTAAAAATTATCCCTTCTTGTTCTTATTTCATCTCATAAAAAATTACTGATTTCATGATGGCTATTTCATGATGGCTATTTCCTCCCATTTATTAGTTTATTAGTTTCCCGGTCTTATACTTAAAGCTAGTTCCCAATTAACAAGCACCTGACTTTTGTCTTTTTGGAATCCAGTTCTATGAATTTTAACATGTACAGGCTTGTAACCACTACCACAACCAGGATACAGAAGTTTCATCAGCCCAAAAAATTCCCTTGTGTTTGCTCTTCCTTTGGAGTCACAGTCTCCCCAATCCCTAACCCCTGGCAACCACTGATCTGTTCTCCATCCTATAGTTTAGTCTTTTCCAGAATGTCATATAAATACAATCATAAAATAGATAACCTTTTGAGTCTGGCTTCTTTTACTCAGCACAGTGCCTTTGAGATTCATCCACTCTGTTGTGTGTAGATGCAATTCTTTCCTTTTTACTGCTGAAAAGTAATCCATTGTATGGATGTACCACAGTTTGCTTCTAGTAAGTATGTAGTATATCACATTGTGATTTGCATTTCTCCAAAAATTAAAGATGTTAGATAGCTTTTTTTTTTCTTTGGATTTCCATTTTTTTCCAAAGCCATTTGGGAGAATGGCATCATCATTCATCTCTTGTACCATTAGGAGAAAGCTCTAAATGGCAGAGTTGTGCATTAGTGTAAGTTCAGATCCTACTGCCCCTGAATATCTTTTTAGGTGCTTATGTATCACCTCTATATTCTCTTTGGTGAAGTGTCTGTTTGTGTCTTTTGCCCATTTTTTAATTGGTTTGTTTCCTTATTGTTGAGTTTTGAGAGGTCCTTACATATTAGGGATACAAGACCTGTTTTGGATATGTGATTTGCAAGTATTATCTCCCAGTTTGTAGCTTGTCTTTCCATTCTCTTAACGGCATCACGGGCAGAGCAAAAGTTTTTAATTTTGATTAAGTCTGCTTTATAATTTTTTTTTCTTTTAGAGATTGTGTTTTTTAGCATCATGTCTAAGAATTCTTTGCCCCAGGTCCCAAAGGTTTTCTCCTATGCTTTCTTTTAGAAGTCTGACAGTTTTAAGTTTTACATTTAGATCTAAATCAGTTTTTAGTTAATTTTTATATAAAGTGTGAGGTTTAGATTGAGATTCCTTTTTTCCCCATATGGATGTCCAACTGTTCCAACGTTATACCCTTTGTTGAAAAGGGTATCCTTTCTTCATTAATTGCCTTTGTACCTTGGCCATAGCCAGGAGGTGGAAACAATCCAAATATCCATCAAATGATGAATGGGTAAACAAAATGTGGTATATCCATAAAATGGAAGATTAATATTATTGGGCCATAAAAAGGAATGAAGTACTGATACATGCTACAACACAGATCAACCTTGAAAATATTATACTAAATGGAAAAAGCCAATCACAAAAGACCACACATTATATGATTCCATTTACATGTAGTATCCATAACAGGCAAATCTATAGATATGCAAAGTAGGTAAGTGGTTGCTTAGGGCTGAGGAGATGGGGGGTTGAGGAGTGATAGCTAAAGGGTACAGAATTTCTTTTTGGAGTGACAACAGTGTTTTAAAATTAATTGTGGTGAGGGAGTGACAGCAGCAAGATGGCCAAATAAGACGTCCCTTGATCATATCCCTCCCTTCAACAACAACAATCTGGCATCCATCCACAGACCAAAGTGCCTTTGTGGGAGCTGTGGGATCCAGGCAGCAGACTGAAACTCCACTGCAGTCCAAGAATGAGGAGAGCCGTCTTGAGAAGATGCTGCCAGAGGCCTATTTCTCTCTCGCCTCATCCAGAGTACTGAGTTGTGAGCTCAACGAAAAAGGAGAC